TTTCTTTAGAGATCCTCTAAAAGTTTGCATATAACATTATATAATCATACAGACTACTTAAAACATATATAGATAACCTCTTTTTTCCTTCTTTAAAAAAAAAAAAAAAAAAAAAAAAAAACTTAAAACATAGTTATTAGTAGCACTACATATTCCTAGAAATATAATGTGAAGTGGGAATCTAAGTCTAGGATCATTATTATAGTGGAAAGTATATCTGGTATACCGTTATTTTTCTAATTTCCACATCAATTAACACTGATTTTTTAGTGATCTTGTATAGCGTTATTTTTTCTAATTTCCACTTTAATTAACACTTTAATTTTAAAACTAAAAAAAAAAAACAATTTAATTTTTAACTCGAAAGGTTTAGGCCAACATTATTCCAGGAAAAAAAAGCCTTTTTCTGCATATATACTAAAAAGAAACTAATGAAAGAGTTACTATCTAGAAAAGCAAATAGTGGTGTTAATCGAGCAAAATAATTCCTTCAACTCACTTGAGGTTTCTTAGTACCGTTCAAACAGCGATACTAATATTGTTTGACCTTAATTTGCATAATTGAGCCTACCATATTAAGTGTTATATATCTATCTAATCAAAGCATTTTAGGCATGCATAATATTTGCTTTATATGGTTTAGTCAAGTTGCTAAACTAACAACGCAGAATGGTCAAGGCATCTTTTAGTGTGAGAATATTGTTGTCCATATGAGTTAAAATTTAGTAATTTAAGGAAGACCGCCTATCTTGTCAAATTTAAGGAACATTTATCCGGGATACACATTAATTGGAGTGGTCCTTTGAAACCGTCAGAAAAGGTGGGAGATGTGTATATAATGGATATACATATATATATATATATGTATATGTATATGGGTTGGTTTGAACTACTTTATTTTCTTAATCAAACAAAATATCTTATAATGGGCTTCGTGACTTTGAAAATTCAGATATTTCTCTCGTGGTTCTGATTTCCCGCTGTTTCACACTTTAGCATGGGAATCACTGGATGATATATATATAGTACTTCACACAACTAAACAAACGAGAACTATACACAAGTCCAAGAGAGAGAGAGAGAGAGAGAGACTATACACAAGGAGAGAGATTGTGTGATATAGTGGAACGGATAGAATAAACTTTTATTGATATAATTCCGAGAGAAAGATGAGATTCAAAAGTTTGCCTTGTTCTTTTCACAACTCAAGTTCTTTTGTTATAGTATTTTTTTTATTATAAAAATTTAAATTCAACTTTTTTACTACAGTATTTTCTCTCGTATAAAAAAATTTGAGTTGTGACTTGAATCGTAAAAATAACACAACCCTACTTAAAGGAATCCCACATACGGAAAACTCAAAAACTAAAAAGGAAACTCAGCTTTATATTCAATTTTTAATTATTCAAATCTTCCTATTAAAATAGCTAATGTGACTATTTATAGTCAACTCACAAAACGATAACAAAATCGTGACAATTTAGACAAATGAACATAATATATATACAATTAACAAAACATAACTACACTTATAAACGACAATTATAACCAAAACCACCTACATCAGAGAGAGAGAGAGAGAGTGTGATACATGTGATACTATACATATACTAATCCGACGGCTTACGTTAATTGGTTGCGTGGTTTTCTTTTCATATTGTAACCGTTGATATGCTAATTGTAAAACCGTTTATTAGTACTGGAAGTAATTATATGCTTTATTAAATAAGGTACGAATTGTGTGAAGTCTCTGTGATCTGGTTCATATCTAATTAGGCACGCAAGTTATAATTCTTTCTATTCATCATTTGACACCAGCTAAGGTCATGGTCACGGAAAACCTAAAACGAAGGAAAAAAGATAATAAAAAGAAAATATGTGATCAACAGAAAAGCCTTTTCAGATACAGAAGTACTGGCAGATTGGCAAATAAACAGCTGGAGGAGCTAAAACCTCGCTTTACCTCATGAGAAGCTATATATATATATATATATAGATATATATAGATATATATAGATATATTTTATATATAGTATGGGTTATCTTAATTATATTCCTTGGTCTAAATTAAAACGGACGAGCGGATTTGAAAACAAAACAATGTGTGCTATCATTATATACAACTTTGTTGCAGTCGCTTTTCCATGTCTTTTACGATAATTACAGCATATATATGTATTATTCTACAAACCCCCTTTGTTATCCTTCTACGAAGAAAGTTATACGTTACAAATTCCACAAGATGATTTTTACCAGATAATTAGTGCAACTCTATACTGCAAAGCGGAGAAGATAGAAACTACATGCGGAAGAAAAACCAGGGAAAATAAACAGAAAAATATCCCTGTAGATCTTAATTACATGACCGCGTATAGGGTTTTATTACGTATAGTCAATATCATTGAATGAGCTTTTATTAATAACTTCCCAAGAAAGCGGCTTGGCTCTAAATTACTTATCGAAACACAAAATTTTAATTCCTGATTCGTCCATTAGGTTTTTTTTTTTTTTTTTTAATATTAAATTCGTCCATTAGGGTTTTTTAATAGAAAAATTCGTCCATTAGGGTTAAATAAAGACAAATGTGGATATATATATATATATATATATATATATATATATTGACCCGAAATCTTTTCATTCAATGTGATTCGACACTTTCTTTTTTACCAGTACTTTCCATACTAAATATTGCTTATAACAAACATCAATACATACGCAGAAATATACGCATTTACAAATGTACATGCAGGTAGCTAGCAGCTGATCATGAGTACGTGTACATCAAATAAATAATTTTCCATCATGCATAAACAGTACGTAATTACGTATGCCAAATTCAAATGGTTGTGTATATGTGTGTGATGTATGAATGTAATTCATGGAATAATATGACTGTAAATACGTACAAATTAATGACTAATTAGGTCACTCGAAAAATATGGCTAGGAAACAAGCTAAGAATAATGAGAAAATTAAGTATGTAATAGAGTATCTATAATATTATTATTGCTTGAGTTTGATTCGACCAATAAAAAACAGTAGATGTTGATTGCTTTTGGTTGGATATGAATTTCCAGAATGTATTGAGGACATTGCTTTAATAATAATCTTCAGTACTTTTCTAACAAATTAAAAAAATAAAAAACAGTAGATCATCTATATATGCATATTATTCTTATTAACAAAATGGACTATAATTAACCAACTAATTACATGTGGGCGGCCTGCGTAAAAGTTAATTTTGTGCAAGACTCGTGAGAAAGAAAAAAAGAGAAACTAGTGATAATTAAGCAATTGGATTGGATTATACGCGTATAATTGTCTGTTTTTAACACGCGTGCAAACTATTTTAGCCAAAAAATAATAATTAATAATAAAATTAAATTAAATTTTGGAAGTATCATGGGTACTTACTGGTAAATAAACGACGGCCATGAATGATAAATTACATATATATATATATATATATTTATATGCTTCTGTTCGCTTGCATACTTGTTCATTTATAATCATTTCTGAATATATAGTACCAGCCGAACGTAATTATAGCCGACTTCTCAATCCTACATAATTATATGTTGTCCTAGGTGAAAAAATAATTAAACCAAGAAAGTGATCACTTTCATGCACGAGAAGATGTCGCTGGTACACATACGCGTATGTACAGAAGGATCATGCGGAGAGTACAACAGCATAATGATGATATCTGGCTGTGGCTAGGAACGATAAGGTCCCGTTCCTGATTCGAGTTTAGAATTTGAGTTTTGCTACAGTAAAAAACTCTCACAAATAATTACATCTAACTTTTTTGTTACAGTAAAAAGCTCTCACATAAAGTCACATCTCAACTCGAATTCTAAACTCGAATCAGCGAAGTGAACGGGGTAGTTTTAGCGTTTTATTGCCCCTTTCAATATTACAATATTATATATATATATATATATATTTTTTTTTAAGATTGTAATTGTGTTATATATGTAATATATAAAAGAAATGTTAATGTTAATAAACTTGAGATACCTTATTATTTATACATGCATTACATTTGTTTTATTTGTAGAAAGCATAAATATTATATATGCTAGTGAAATACCTTTTGAAAATCTGGGGGAGATTGGACGTGAGATATTATATATATAAATAAATACACGTATCTATACACATAAATTATCTAAATAGAAAGTGAGCTGCTATACCTTGTTTATCATGTGACTGTTGATTCTTTAATATTGTTTTAATTCGTGGGTTACACAACAATAATAAGTAACCCCTTTGCTTACCTATAATTTTTTGTTTTTTACTCCGGCGAGGGTAGGATCGAATTTCAGGTTCTCAAATTTAACGTCAGACGACTTTACCAACTCGACTTGTTAACACTTTCATAGCCGCTATTTTGTATACCTACCATATTTGTTTCTTGGATCACAATATTAATATTACTGGATATCTTTGTATCTGCTACGATCATCAATTAATTATAAGATACAAACCACCTATGTCGTGCAAACCACAATGATATTTTCTTAAAAGATTTTTCTTTTTACACAACACCACATGAGGTAATGGTATTTTGCTATAGATATTGTCTTTATTGCATTACCGAAAAATGAAAAGAGTCTAAGATTTTGAATATAGATATGAGATTATCTAAGTTAGCGCCAGCTGATTGAATTGGCAAAATCTCCTATCGTCAAACCCGGGGACGCACAACCAAATCTAGATTTAACCGGGGTGGAAGAGGGATTACGAGAAAATAAGAGGATTATCCAATCAAATATTTTTTTTTTAATTTTTTTTTTTTTTGAGATTACACATCTTGAAATCACTTGATGTGAGTGAGATTTGCAAAGAAATGCAAATAAATGAAAATTGAGGGGGGGTGGAATGTTGAAAATGAAGAAAATGAGGGGGTGAAAGTGTGAAGAGGGAAAGAAAGAAAGGGAGAGTTGGATAAAAATCCGCGGTTGGAACAGCCCACTGGAAAACAAAGCAATGGCCCCTGGTTTTCTCTCCCAGAAAACCAACTGTATTGTGCTTTCAGCTAACCCTAGACCCTGTCCCCCTTTATACCCCCCTCCATTCCTCACCCACCATCTCCTTCATCAACAGAGATGCCGAATTTCACATCTCTGTTTTCCTTTTACCTCTCATCCTGTACATTTCTACCGTTCTAGAACCAAAACCGTACCTGACCCTTTCTCTCTCTCTCTTCTCTCTCTCCTCTCTCTCTCTCTCATCCTCTGTTTCCTCTGTTCTTCGTTTTTCCGTACTCAGGTACAGATTACGGGTTTTCGACGACTTTTCCCCCCCTTTTTCTTATCGGAAAAGTTCTGGCTCCGGTCTGGGAGGGTGAATTTTCGAGTGTGAATGGGGATTGAGACGGCGCTGGCTAATCGGAAAGGGAAGGAATTCTGCGAATTGCCGAAGGTGACGAATTCCAATAGCAAGACGAGGAAGAATCGCCGGAGGTATAAGAAGATGTCGCCGGTGCAGAAGCTCTTTGAGATGTGCAAGGAAGTCTTCACCGCCGGTGCCACCGGGGTTGTTCCCCCGCCGGAGGATATTCAACGGCTTCAGTCTGTTTTGGGTACGTTATTATTATTTTTTTCCTTGAAAAGAATTATGATTTAGGCGTTTGGCATTCCGAATTGGTTTCTCAGTCTGACTTGCATCAAAATTGAATCTTTTGAACTGGTTTTTCGCCTTTGAGGTTGCGAAATATTGATAGGATCGATTTGACAATCGCTGGATTATTATTCTTTTTTTTTTTTCGAATCAAGTTTAGGGGTCGTGCTTTTGTTGAATATGTCTTAATTGTTGAATGCGTGAACTTCACTTGATTTTCATAGAGGTGTGGATTTTCATCCTGTTTGATTTCTTTTGTAACAGAAAAAAAGGGTCTTTGAATCTCATTTCTATCGATTTCCATAACTCGATTTGTTTCAATTCACATGCTTTGTCAGATGGTCTGCTATTTCTGTTCAATCATTTTTTGTCTGATATTCAATGTATCTTGACGCATCTCTGTTTTGTGGGCTATGTACATGCATTTTGAATGCGTCTATCCTAGGTATTCCGCTACTCTGAATTTTAAAAAAAAAAATGCTTCTTTTCATGTGTCTATTTGTTCCTTTTTTCTTATCTGCTTGTTGCTAGATTAATGGTTTCGAAATTTCTCGAAGCTTTGACATTGTTGACTGGATGCTTCAACAGAACACGTTTGCAATGCCTACGGTGGCTAAATATAATAACAATCATGTTTCATGAGGAGATTTGGAACAGCCTTATCTGGCTTGGTGCCAATTATCCCTTTAGTACCCTTTGAGTAATAATTCCCTCTTTTACCTTTTTCGTTTGGTGGGCAAGGACTTCTGAGCTTTCTTTTTTTTTGGGGGGGGGGGGGGGGGGGGTTCTTATTTCTCTATAAGACATAAAGCATAGAATTTTGGTATACGCGTCATTCATTATAGAATGCATTATGTGCACATTTTTGGGTTATTTTGATTTGGGTTTGGTGCTCATAAGCAAAATTTTATGTGGTAGATGTCATGAAACCTGAAGATGTTGGCTTGACTCCGGAGTTGCCCTATTTCCGGGCAAATGCAGGAAGCAGAACCCCAGCAATTACTTACCTTCACCTCCATGAGTGCGAAAATTTCTCGGTAAGTGTACACTTTTTTTTTTTGTTGGTCTCCAACGATAATTCTATCAATAATGGGCTTCTCTTCTTGTTATTCTCATAAATTTTTTTAATCCGTGCCTATTGGCTATTGCAGATGGGGATATTTTGCTTGCCGCCATCAGGTGTCATTCCGCTTCACAATCACCCTGGAATGACGGTTTTCAGCAAGCTCCTCTTTGGGACGATGCACATTAAGTCGTATGACTGGGTGGTTGATGTCCCCAGTAATACATCCGCCACCGTGAATTCTTCTCAAGGTGAGTTACGGAACTTTTTTGAGTTTTGTAGATGGAAAGTACGCACTGAATGACTGGTGTATGTTGGCAGTCATCCTCGCATCACATGAATCATGTATTCCCTTTTTGGTTTTGATAAGTGGTTTAAAGAAATAACGACAAGTAACGTACGGGAAGTGTACTTATTAAACTGTATTATTGTCTCTTCTCTCTCTCTCTCTCTCTCTCTCTCTCTCTCTCTCTCTCTCTCTCTCACTTTCCCTTTTTGTTAAAAAAAATAAAATAAAAAGGTTGCTCAGAGTTTGGAACTTGTAATTCCAGAATTGTCTGTACGGAGATCCTCGAATATACACTAATTCTCCGGTTTCACACATAAATAGGCCCCGTTCACTTCGCCGATTTGAGTTTTGCTACAGTAAAAAGTTCTCAGAAACAGTCACATCTAATTTTTTTATTACAATAAAAAGTTCTCACATAACATCACATCTTAATTTGAATTAAAAACTCGAATCAGCGAACTAAACGGACCCTAGATTATTCGGCATCCGGAAACAAGGTCTTAAGCTTGGATTAGATTACATTTATAGCATCATGCAGTGGAATCTGGAAACATTATCTTTTAATTAGTTGTTCAAATTTTCAGTGTTTTTCTTTCCCTGTAATTTGCAAAAGGAGTAAATGCCTGAACATACAAATTTTTGTTTGTGCAGACACAACGACATCTGATGTTCGGTTGGCCAAAGTTAAGGTCGACTCCGACTTCACTGCGCCTTGCAATGCATCCATCCTTTATCCGGCCGACGGAGGCAACATGCATTGCTTTACGGCGGTGACAGCATGCGCGGTGCTAGACGTTCTTGGTCCCCCTTACTCTGACCCAGATGGTCGGCACTGCACATACTACCATGATCGCCCATTTTCAGATTTTTCAGGTACTTTAGCAATCTTTCTTCTTGGCTCAAATGAAAATGTCCATTCTTTTCTTCCGTTGCCCAACTCAGAGTTCTCGACTCTTGTTCTGTTTGGAATTTCAGTTGATGGAGTAGCAGTGCCTGAGGAGGAAAAGGAAAGTCATGCATGGCTTCAAGAGAGGGAGATTCTACCCGAGGACCTAGCGGTAGTTGGAGCACCATACAGAGGCCCAAAAATAGTGAACTGATGATAATATATCACACCTCTATATTATCGTTTTTCCCCACCATTATATCCATGCAGTGACTGCTACCACCATTTGGTGCAGTAGTCGAAGTTTTTTTATTTTTTTGTCTTTAGTTTCTTTTTATTTTTTTCTTTCTTTGTGGGACATGTGCCGTTAGATGGGTTTTGTTTTTTCCTTTATACAGTCCTTGTACATACTCAAAAATGAAAAAGGAAGAAAGAAGATCAGCTGTAAGTGTTCTAGTTGCACCTCAAAATATGAGTATGAAAGTGCATTGAGACTGTTTCAATTGCAACATTTCCCAATCAATTCAAAGGGCTATGAATTCCCTCCCTATTTTACTCCCTTTTCTTACTGATGATATGAATGGTAGATGAAGTGAGAGAGACTGATTTGAGTTTAGAATTTAAATTTTATTATAGTAAAAAGTTAACATTTAATAAAAACAGTAAATTTTTTTATATAAAATCACATATCAATTTGAGTTTGAGTTTTTAATGTCCCGTTCACTTCATCGATTCGAGTTTTACTATAGTAAAAAATTTTCAGAAACAGTCACATTTAACTATTTTGTTACAGTAAAAAATTCTCACATAAAGTTACATCTCAACTCGAATCAGCGAACTAAACGGGTCCTAAATGTGTCTGATGAAACTTTTGTGATTTCTATATTTATAACCTAATCATCATAGTTGAAAAAAGTTGAAACTCCCGGCAATAATTCCTTGCATACGCAACTCACCAGTGCGGTCCCATTTAAAGAAAACAAGGATATAGGGTCTTCGTAGGAGGCGAGAATCTGGTTATTCTGTACAGATAAGTACAATCAAATTGTTATGCATTCAACAATAAATAAATCAATCAAATTTGAGTTATTTTTATCAAATAAAGCATAACTATGAAAAGTTTAAATAGTAAAAAACTTTTTAGACAATACAATAGTTCTTTTTTTTTTTTCCCCTTTTATTAATAATATTCTCTCATTTCTTAAAAAAAAAAAAATCTTTACCAACAATGGTCTAAAAAATCTTTACAGAGAATGGTCTAACTCTTGAAAAAACGTTGCATATCAGATAATGGAGCATATAAAACGGGTGGTCAATCAGTCCTTGTCTAGAGTCAAGCTCCAAATTTGTAATTTTGTGTAGGTAATGATATATAATAATATGAAGGGATGTTTTTATTTTTATTTTTATATTATTTATTTATTTATTTATTATTTTATGTCTTCCGCATGAAATTCCGGATGTCTCTTCGGTTGGAGACAACTAGAATGAAAATAACGGCATGAAGCTGAAGGGTGATGTCGCTTCTCTTGATGCAACTTCCCTATAAAAGGGGTGTTTTCCAATGCTATCTGGATTCCGATGGGGCGATTGTAGTAGCTATTTTTGGTGATAATGAAAGAGAATTATCAACATTTCCAGTTTTGGGTCCTTTCAAATGCTTAGAGTTTGAACGACTGCAGTGCTTGTCTTGAGCCTCAACATTGTGAGGAACTGTTCATATATATTGAAATGGACTTAACTCTTACTTCAATATTGAGACTATTACTATTTTGAGTAAGAGTTCGTGAAGAAATGATGGAATTTGCTCTTCTTAACAACGTCAATCTTATTTCATGAAAATAAATTCTCTCTCGTGATTGCTATCCATTTCAGCAAGTTCGTGAAATATGACCATATTGTCAAGTAGTTGGAGAAAATGAGCTTCACGCATTGCGGAAACTGATTGATTTTGTTTTTGATGTCTAAGTTAATTCCAAGAAGAGTGGACATCAAATGGAAGACAAGAATTAAAAAGAAAGAAAAAAAACAAAAAACAAAAAACAAAAACTTATTGTATAAGAGGTTTCTGGTTTAAACGTGTTCTCACATGACGATAGACAACTGAACATAGATTTCGTTGTTTGAACGTTTAAATGACAATAGAATCCAACACACATAGGCTATATAAAACGTAAGTTGAGTCTATATATAATTGGGTTTGGAGTTTGGCATTCAAGTCACGAGCTATCAGATTACTCTAGACAGTGAGTCAGTGACACATCTATATATTGATCTGTTCGACTGTTCCTATGTTGTAATTTTCTCAGATTCTTTACACATACTAATATGCCTATTATGGCTTTATAGTACTGGTATTACTGGTCGGAATAATTTCTAGAGCTGTTCTATCACCTGAAGTAGTTCTTTTGTACTTCATCACACGTACATTACATAAGTATTGTTCTATCAATGATTAGTACTTAATCATCACGATAGACGGCTAATTAAGCACGCACCCTAGTCTAATGACATAGGGAGAGGGGTTGGGAGGACTTTGAATGGTGGTTTACGGCTTCGATATCACTTATAATCTTTATTTCTTATTTACAGAATGACACATGCTATATATTATGTGCGTTTTCTTTAGGGGAAAAACATGCATCGGACAAAATGTGATTGGTTGAAACCAAAAATTAGACAATTAATCTAAAATCCGTTTTTATATACCCTGATAGTTAATATTCCTACATGTATCCTGCAACTATATATATCACTACAACAAAAGAAAAAAGCAAACTAATATCAGATTCAGATGATGATACACGTGAAAAACTTCAACATTGAGAAAGTAGTACGTGTTTGAAACCGAGAACCATCCAGCAAAATAGTTGAAAGATTAATGAATTACATATGTACTGCTTCCTTATGTTGGAGAATTTGAGTGCAGAGGAAAGTAAATAATTTCTGAGTTTGAGACGTATAACAATACTTTTTTTTAAAGTTTTATTTACACTTATTTATTAAAGTTTGTTAATGAGTTTTTATTGTAAATTACCCTCAAGATACAACAAACTCTTGAACACAAAATCTAATAATAATATTGTGTTTCAGAACATGAATTAAGTCTGTAAATTTTTTGAAAAATTAATTAAGACAGAAATGTCATTTCATGAATAAATGCATCATTTTCAAACTTTACAACCATTCACAAAGAGGTGCCTTTTCAATGTAAAAATATTTCTTCATGGATTAATTTATCTATTACAATAGTTATATTTGTTGCTAATAGGTGTTAAGATATATTTGAAATCATATCACCAATAGATGCAATGGTTCATAACATTTCAAATCACAAATCACACATATATGTACAATTTCTACAGAATACCCGCTACATTATATGAAAAACCTGCTGTAGCAGATTTACTAGAACTTACAGGCCCAAAGGCCTGCATAGAAGGCGCTGCAGCGCGCCCGCGAGCACACACAGGCACTGCAGTGCGGGGCCTTCAGCGAATAGCACCAAATTGATGCAATGGTTCATAACATTTCAAATCACAAATCACACATATATGTACAATTTCTACAAAATACCCGCTACATCATATGAAAAACCCGCTGTAGTAGATTTACTAGAACTTACAGGCCCAAAGGCCTGCATAGAAGGCGCTGCAGCGCGCCCGCGAGCACACACAGGCACTGCAGTGCGGGGCCTTCAGCGAATAGCACCAAATTGATGCAATGGTTCATAACATTTCAAATCACAAATCACACATATATATACAATTTCTACAAAATACCCGCTACATCATATGAAAAACCCGCTGTAGCAGATTTACTAGAACTTACAGGCCCAAAGGCCTGCATAGAAGGCGCTGCAGCGCGCCCGCGAGCACACACAGGCACTGCAGCGCGGGGCCTTCAGCGAACAGCACCAAATTGGTGTTGTCTTGGGCGCTGCAGCACTCGTGTCATCACTCCAATTTGTGCCTTGCATTTTAACCTCCTAAATAATTGATATTGTTTATAAGAGATATATTATAATCTCTCTAACCTCTTATGTACAAATACAGCTATGTTAATTAGCATAATCAGACAGAGCCTAGTTAAAATTGTTCTCGTTAAGATATTATTTATATACGTACACCAATTAGTAAATAAACTAAAACATAAAATTTAGCTATCTAAATAATACAGTGTGGACAATTGCTCTGCATAAGGCTTGAAAACAGATCCAATTATATTTACAAGTATAGGGGAATAAAACTTTGTCTTAACATTG